ATATATATATATATCAATTAGTGTCATGTAACTACTAAGACTCTATCAAATAATGAGTTGTTGGTTGCGGTTGCAAGGAAACCACATGAAGTCATTCTCTATATATAGTTAGAAAAGAACATGATGTCAGAAGGATATAACTTCTTTCCAATCAGTAGAATTATTTTTACGAATAAACAAAACTACATCAAACTTTAGCACAACTGTGAGATTATAATTAGGGTGTAAATAATAGAGAAAAACTTTAATAATTGTGTTTCACTAATTCAAAATTTATTATTTGACCAGAGGCTGACAGGAATGTTATTTTTGCCTTGATTAATTTCTTTCTTTTTATAGAGAGTAAATTAATAATGTAAATAAGATTGCAAGAGGATCCTTGAAAATACTTAGTAGAACAAACTTTCTAAGCATCCTCAAGCACTTTAGAAAGATCCATTTCCACACAATTGATATGCTAATCACAAACCATTAAATCAAGTCAAGGATGTGTATTGGATAACACTTTGTTAGTTCTCTGTGAGTTAATGTAGGTACTTGAAATAATAGAACTTTATTTCTTACTGAAATAATATATTTTCAGGCTTTTTTCCCCCCTTAATTGAGACTAAGCTTCCTCCAATTAGTACAGATTAATGACATTTTGTAGGAGTCAATATTGAGGAACCAAGAGGTATTGCTGACTCTTCTATAACCTAGTTAAGGTCAGAGAAGAGGATTAGATTGGGAAAAGTAATCCTAGAGTTGATACTTAATATTATTTCTCAATTGAAATAGTATTTCCAAACACAGCAAAATAACATACACGATAATTTTGGATATCATACAAATCAAAATCATAAACAATTTGCCAGGCACATTGAAAGAAAGCAAGTTTTAATGTATAGATTGTCTAAGGAAAAGTTAGTCTCGTGTGTGTGTGTGTGTGTGTGTGTGTGTGTGAGAGTGTGTGTTACTCAGTTAGATAATATTGAGCACATGAAAAAAAAGAGTGTCTCCTATCAGTCTGGTGTTTTTTCATCCTGTCACATGTTTTTTCCAACCTGATGCCTCTTCCAGAGCTGTGCTCCCATTTATTATTTAAGCCATGTCTCTTTTAAACAGAATTTAGTCACCTGGGATAAGAGAAATAAGATCAAATTAAAATAATGTTTTATTCTTAACCATGGTTTATATTCCCTGTTAGGAATCAAGGATCAGAGTGGTATGTTGATATTCATTATTCAGCTCTACAAGATTCATGTCAATATCTCTATTTTACAGGATGGGAAATCTAGACTTAGAGACAAGAAATAACTCACCTAGGTTCCCACAAGAAGTGCCTGGTAGAGCTGTGATTGACATTTGAGTCTGTCTGCCTCCAAAGTCCATGTTCCTACCCTCTACTTTTGTGGTATTTTTTTTTTGAAATAATATGAGCAAAAACAACTTTAATTTGTAAGTGCTGCTCCAAAATAAGTTAGCGGCATTGGGCTAAGTGCTCTCTCATATTGTCTTGCGTTGACTTGAACTTACTGTGACTTATGCATTGCTTAAAGGTCTCTGTGTTCAGATTCTGTGTTTGTAAGCACTGGCCAGTATGTGTGTGAGACATCTTTGATGTTGAGAAAGAGTGCATAGCAGCTGCCAGGAAATGATGCTTTTGATTTTTTATTTTGAGGAAGAATGGAGCAATAAATAACCACTATACAGGTTTGACTGAGACTTGGTTCTTCCTGCCCCCCTCGTGGTAGTAAAGGTTCCTTCTCAGTAAGGTGCATGTCAGAACAGAGAAGTGACCTCAACCCATATGGAGTACCCTGTAGGGAAGTAGTTGTGACATATATTGCTCTTTAACGGGCTTTACTTCTTGCGTAGTTTTTCTGTACAACTTCCTTGACGGTCCTCATCATCGCCCACCATAAGACATCAAGCTGCAGTGCTGTGATCCCAGTGATCAATTTTCTGCCTTTGCACAGTTCACTTGGAAAATTCTAGTAACATGTCCTTTACAGTTGTGATCCTCAGCTGCAGGTAGGGAGTAAAACCAGAGGACTTTCTGGTGTGTTGACTTAGGTGAGAGTTATTGAATTCTCAGATCTGCCACTTCCTACCTGAGTGACTCTGGGCAAGCTACTTAAATTATCTGAGCCTCTGCTTGTAAAATGGGGGACAGCAACTATATGCATTTTATACGAGGATTAAAGATAAAAATGAAGCACCCATCAGAGGGCTTGGTACTAGTAGGGGCCCAGTAAGTGGTGGTAATTAGGTCTAGACAAATTAAAAACTGAGTTATGCCACTTATTATCTTTCTATAAGCTATTCTCTGAATCTCAATTTACTGTGAGGATGAGAACAATACCTGCTATTATGGGTTGAATTGTGTCCTCCAAAAAGATATGTTGAAGTTCTAACTCCAGGTTATCATATTTGTGTGACCTTATTTGGAAATAGATTTAAGATGAGATCATACTGGATTAGGGTGGATCCTGTTCTGTGACAGGATCCTGTTCTTATAAGAAGAGGGAAATTTGTACAGAGACATAAACACAGAAATCAGAGAGAATGCCATGTAAAAGAGGCAGAGATTGGGCTGATGCATCTACAATCCAAGGAACATCAAGGATTGCTGGTAACCAGTAGAAGTGAGAAGCCTGCAGCAGATTCTCTCTCAGAGCCTCCAGAAGAAACCAACCTAGCTGACATCTTGATTTCAGAACTCTAGCATCGAGAACTGTGAGAGAATAAATTCCTGTTGTTTTAACGCACTCAGTTTGGTGATTAGTTATGGAAGCCCTAAGAAAATACACCTACCATTTGGGGTTTTTAGGAAGGTTAAATGATAAGTAAGTAGCATGTGTAAAAGAACTGGTTCAGTTTCTGGCACATGAGAGGCATTATTAAGTATTGGACTTCTTACCTTCAGGTGTCAAGACATAGAAAATAGACTTTGAAAAATAACGACATAAAAACCTATACCACCTATAGATTTATGGGTGTCTGTATCAATAAGGAAATTAGCAATTGAATACTACTACCTCTTCTACTCAGCTCTTCAGGGTTGGAGAGAGCTGCTTACCCTGAGGTGGTAGGAGATGGCAACAGGTTTGGAAGGTGGTGATTTGAATCACGGAGAGGGTGAGGGATGTTGGCTGTTACCTCATTAAAAAGCAAATGAATCCATCTTGATTTTCAGACGTAGTAGAAATTGAGATATATATTCAAACAAATCTCTAGTGAAATCTTGATTGTGAGCATTATGAAGGCCCTTCCCTTCCCTTGTCTGCACAGGGTTGGATCAGGATCGGTGCTGCCCCAAGCTGACCTCTGCTGGCCCAACTCATGGCATCTGCGTGTACCAGGGATCGGGTTCTAATGGCCCCTCCCCATCTCAGCTTCATGCAGAGGATCTCAGAGGGTGAGAGAGGATGTTAAATAGAGGGTGTT